TTGTTGTTGTTGTTCTGATGCTTTATCCGCGACAATGTCAATACGATCTTCTGTATCGTTATCATCATTGGTTGACGATTCCCAGTCAGCTGAACTTGGATCAAATGTGTAGCCAGGCATTGTACGAAGAGAAAATGGTGAATTATCTGACCAGATATAACCAATATTTTGAAATACTTTAACAAAATCGATACTTTTTAATGTTCGTAACCATGCAGACCATGTAAATCTGGTGCAAAGAACACGTGATTGAGATGCTGTAAGTTTTATTTTACTTCTTGGACCATTGTGGTCAATATATTCTGCGACAACATCGTCGTAATGATTCTTGAAAACTGAAAAAACAGAAACATCAAGTACCTGTACATACATGGTGCAACCTTTTGGTATAATAGCAACTACTACTCGTTTTTTACGTAAATCACGAATAACGTCAGCATTTAGATGAGGATTTGCACTATCAGCAATCATTAGCTTTGAATGAGGATCTCTAACCTATAAACGTAAAATCATGTCATATTATTTTGTATGAATTTTCAAAATATTCTTACTTTCGACCACCATAATTGTACATAACGATCCATTGTTGTACCATTTATTACACCTTTTGGTGTAAAAAACACATGAACTCCTTGAGCATATTGAGGTCTTTCTGTTGATGTAACACGATCTTGTCTTTTAAAAATCAAAATAGGACCCATTCGAGAATTATCTTCAGCAAATACAGTAAGATTAATGTAGCAAGACGTTTATTGGTTAAATGACCTTCTATATCATTTGATGTACCTATATCATTAATACTGCGTTTGCTTTGGTCACCAAATAATTCAATAGGACTTTCGTCCATATTACAAATATCACGTGGTGTAAAAGCTCCCATCAGTCCTCGTTTAGGATCCCATTTATTGGCACGGCGTATGCAAGAATAAAATGCAGTAACATGTTTATAAGCATCTGTTAAAGGAAGTTTTTGTTGACGTTTTGGTTGCTGAAGAGATAGTCTATGGCGAGCCAAAAATCGGTAATACCATTTACATGATGGTGGTTCATGGTTCAATTCAACACTTAATTGAAAACCTTGTCGTTGAAGCTGTTTTAATGTAACTTTTTCACGTGAAATATTTAAATTCTTGTTGCAGTTGGTGAAGCTTGAATCAATTTTATCTCTTCGTTCACGAAACCAGACTAATAATTTTAAATCAAGACCAATATATTTCAAATTTTTCCCAGCACCACCTGATCTGCGTCGTTTACGACCTATAAATAAAAATAAGAATTTTTTAGAGTAAATGAAGCTCAGTATTCTTTATTAGAGTCGATTACAATGGCTAACCTTTTTTACTTTTTACAATATTGAGTAATTCATTTTCACACTTCAACCATTTTCGTAATTGAGCTGTTGTACACCCATGTTCAACAGCAGTTCGATTTTTACTGCCATTAGATTTGAAAGTATTAATAGCATTAAGCTTTTCAAATATCGACCACTGACGACGTTTACGTTTTGAAGTTTTTTTCGTATCATTATTAAATCCATTGACGTCAGTTGCAACGAGTAATGAATATGATGTTGAATTACTGGTGCATTCATTGGATAAATGATTTTCATTTACATCATCATCTGATACATCAGAACCAGAATCTAAACATGTATCATCAGATGCAGAACTTTGAATACGATCATTAGTGTTACAGCATTGAACAACATGATTGTCAAGTAATATAATATCATTAGCATTATCATAAATTTCCGATTCATCATTGGAGCTGAATGTTAAATATTTTGTCATATCAATAATTTGGTGCTCTTCTTCATCCACATTTGACACGATTTCGATAGAATCATCATCTTCTGATTCACTTGATGAATTATCGAATCATTATTATCAATTAAAGGTAATAGATGTACTTCAGCGTCGTTCATCGACATGTTATTTGTTATTTTTTATGATTAAAAACATACAATTTATACTTTTTCTTCTTCTTTCAGTCAAAAAGAACAACGAATGTAATTTATTTCTCTTTTTGTTCTTTCAGCCAGAAAGAACAATAATGTTTATTTCTCTTTCTATTCTTTCATGAGTGAAAGTGATGCGTACTGTTCTATTTCTTCGTTCGACATTTTACCTTGCCTAGAATATTTTCCTCAAACAACGAAAGTAGAAAATTCTGATATACGAAATTTTGTTAAATATACTGGGATAACAGAAGAAAATTTATTCTGAAAAACGAAGACCCGGGTCTTGTAATACGGCTTTCAAACTTTTTGCTAAAGGGGGTCTTCTAATATGGGGAGGGGTTTAGAATATTGGAGGAGTAATCTTATTTAAAATATAATTGAAAGTTATGCTGAAGCTTCTGTTCAACAAGTAGAACAAGACAATCAACTACTTGTTCAAGGTTTTATAAAATGGATACTTTTTGCTCGATAGAAACATTACTACTAATCCATATAGATTAAACAAAAAATTACTTCAATAATTTAGATATCATTGAACAACATATAGTTGAAGCTGATGCAAATGTGGGATCAGCTAATCAACAATTAACACAAGCCGTTACTTATCAGGTTATTTATTTATTATTCAATAAAATTATATCTTTTTTTTTAAATTTTAGACCTCTGCTCGACGTAAAAAAATCATTTTAATTGCAATTGTGATAATTTTGTTATCTATTTTGGGTATTGGCTTGTATTTCGGACTTAAAAAATGATATGCAAATAGGTTAGTTATTCAAACAAAGATGCATTTAGGTTACTTTGTATTTTTACACATATTACACAGGAATTTACAACTACTCGTATATATGTATCAATATGATGATTACTTTGTTTCTATTTTCTCAAATTATACGTGTTCTTTCCCACAAATTGTTTTGCTTATATTCAAACTTAAAAATAGTACAATCATCTTATTATCACCAACCAAAACAAACGGACATTCCTTTTGTTATTTTTTCATTAATTTTTTGCTTCATGCTTTTATATAACATTTTTTCTATTGTATTCTTGCAAGTATGTTTTTTTTTTCATTAATATTTTTCTGATGTCCATTATGTATTATTGTTTGATTATTTTTCAATCTACAATTTGATCAATGCTTGCATCTATTTTTACATGTGATTGTAGAAAAGAAAGTTAAACTCAGTATACAAAAGGATTTTTTAATCTCCTATGCATGCGATGAAAATTCATTTATTTGAACAAAAAAGAAAAGAAAAACCATTGAGCTAACGAGGGAACATTACCAAGTGATCCGCTCCGTTTGCCTCCATATTTTGCCCATATGTAGGGGTTATTATAGTAAGAAAAAGCCTAAGAGGATTTGGGCTCTTATTGCTTCTTTCAAAAGTTATGAAGTTTTTCGTTTTCTATATAGTAAGGTACATAACGCTAAAATTTTCATTTCTCAGTAAAACAATGAATTATTGGCTTAATTTTTTTTTCATAAATGCATTTAGCACCTATCAACTTTAAACATAATTTTGTGTCATTAAACTATAATACACAACGTGTTATAGAATGCTGGTTGTGAGAAGATACCCAGGTGAAAGAATCAGACGGCAAGATCATACAGGATCAGAGGCACGATCTTGTAAAAGCTTACCACCTGATTATTGTACTTGAAATGTTTTTTGGCGCAGTATAGAATAGTAGGATAGTTTGCCGGTGTCTTTTGCAAGGATCGAAAGGAAACCGTTGTCTCCTTTCCGCCACGAAGAGACCTCCTACTTCGGAAAGGGCTTTTTAATTTTTTTTTTGTTGTTTTTTTCAATTTTTTCACTTCTTTTCGCCATTTTTAACTTTTCGAGACTTTTGTAAAATAACACCTAGAAATAAACACCTAAAGATAAGCAAAACGTTGAAGAAAAAATAAAGCTTGAATAAATGAAGATTTTTTCTGATAATCTCCAGCTTATATGAAATCAGTTACAAGTAAAAAAAGAAAGCTATGAGAGAAAACCAGGTGGTATTCGAACAATAGAGCAAAAGACGATTAATACATATGATATACTTCGAAGAAATGATGAAAGCAGAAGGTTTTTTGACACCAACTGCAGGTTATAAAGCAAGTATCATTACAGCCTTTTTTGGCACAAGAAATGTCGGTAAATGAAAAACAAATTTGTTTTACGTTCTGGAAGGCCCCCGGATTGTCTTTTATGTAACCAGATTTGTACCAAGCGTATTTAATCATTGGAACAAATGTTTTAGAAGAGAGCTGGTTATGAATGAGAGAATTCAGTTTGATGATGTTGTTTCTCTGACTGATATTTATATCAATATTATCGAGGCGTATGTGGTCATAAACTTTTCGTGCAATAGCCTTAAACTGTCTATTGAAGTAGACATCCAACGGCTGAATCCAGGAAGTAGTTTTCTTTGGTATTTCTATTCTTTGACAATTTTTTAATTTTTCATAAAGCGTTTTGTTGCTTTGTGCATCCCATGAATCTGAAATTAAAAGAAATTTGTTGGTTCCGATTGCAGGTTCTAAAACGTTATCTCGCCAATATTTTAGAAGTGACGTTGAGAGTTTACCAGACTTACTACACGTTAGAATAATATTTTTAGCCTGAAAAAGACTCTTTTTTACATTTTCAGTTAATCGACCAGAAGGTTCTTTTAAGCAAAGAAATACCGGCCCCACTAGATGGCCGCCCATACTGATCATTGGCCGCACCGTATATGAATGTGTCGTATTATGTACAGAATGTACAGCAGCCAGAGTAGTTTTTTCTCCTTGAAAACTCAAGGTTCGGTTAGAATATAATTCTAGTTGCAAGCCTGACTGATCAGTATTCAATACGTAATCAGCATTATATTTTTTTATTATTTTTTGAGTATTTGAGACAAAATCATTAGCAGATTTATAGATTTCCTGCTCATTTTGAACCTCTCGTTTGGTTACCAGTTTGGCTATTTTTCTCGAGCAAATATTGTACCGATGTTTGAAATCAAAAAGCCATTTTTCACTGGCAACAAAATCGTTCAAAAATATTTCTTTAGCTTTTCTCAACCCCCACCGTCGCAGATCAATATCATGAACTGAAAGCAGCTTTCCGCGAGCATTTTCAAACGACTCATAAACAAAAGCGTCAATTTGATTTATTTTATGTCTTTTCGTACCTCCCGATGCCAAGTATTTTCGAAAATGTGTAATATAGCCTCTGTTAGGAACTCTTTTGAAGTGACGGTGGAACATGTTCCAAGAATGTTTTCTTTTACCAGTTTTACTATTTTTTTCATCATAAAACTGCACTGCCTTATCCATATATTCTAGAGAATACTGATTTAATAGAGTATTTTTTTTATCACTGTTATTAATTGTATAATCGGTCTTGTCTAATTCATTCATAGTAGTTTCATCACTATCTGTATCGGACTCTTCTGTGCTCGAGTCAAGATTAACATCATAGTCAGGAGTACTTTCGTTTTCAAAATGATATGTCGTACTACTCATAATTGTGTTAATATTATCGAAAAGACGTTCTGCTACTTTTTCGTCTTTAGCAGAAAATGTAGTTGATTCACTAGAGGGTCATCGCCTTGAAACTAAATTCGAAAGAATTCGAACAAAATTATGTGCATTTATCATTGTTCTTTGGTTTATGATAAGAAGTAATCGAATGGCTCACCAACGAGCTGTTAGTGAAGAGAAATGTGTGTAATGAAAAACGGAGCAAAGAAGGTATCTATATGATCGTTGCAAAATTAATGGTCTCCCGAATCAGTGGTAAATTCCGTAAAATGTCTTGTATTATAGTTTAATGACACAAAATTATGTTTAAAGTTGATAGGTGCTAAATGCATTTATGAAAAAAAAATTAAGCCAATAATTCATTGTTTTACTGAGAAATGAAAATTTTATCGTTATGTACCTTACTATATAGAAAACGAAAAAACTTCATAACTTTTGAAAGAAGCAATAAGAGCCCAAATCCTCTTAGGTTTTTTCTTACTATAATAACCCCTACATATGAGCAAAATATGGAGGCAAACGGAGCGGATCACTTGGGAATGTTCCCTCGTAAGAAAAAATGTTTTTAAAAATATTCTTCTTGTTTTTGACTAATATATTTACTTGTAAAACAGATTCACCTGTTTTGTCAACTTCATTATATCGAGAACAACATAAATCAAAAGTATATAATTCATAATCACTAGTAACGAAGTAAACTGTTAAACCTAAATAATTGACTTTCTTGTGATTATCTGTCTAAAGATCTGGACAAAAAGCCAATACACCGCACTCAGCTTGTTCAATTAATACAGGTCGTACTAAAGACCTGTAATGTTCAACCAATCGATTAACATTGTTTGAAATTGTTGTTGGTGTTACACGAATATCTTCAATATTAACTGCTCCTTGATGTTTTTGACCTAAAAATATAGATACAATCATTTGAATCGAAAAACACAAAATAACTCACAAATATCAATAATTGTTTGTAAAGTTGCTTTTAATCCTGGATCTGAAATAAGATTAAATGGACGCATGCTTGAACAAATTCATTTTGTAAATTCATCTCGAATTTTATTATGATCTTGAGCAGCTAATTTAAGTGACGTTGAATTTTTCGATTTGATGAATTTGTCCATTGGTCTTTCTTTATTATTTTCTGATGATGATTGTTTTGAACAAACATGTCGCAGCAGATATCTGGTGCTTCCATACCCACCAGACTGATAAGAATAAGTGTCTTTGCATTCGAAACAACTTGTAAACCCAACTATTCGCTGATAAGAATCATCTGCTCCACGTTTAGCGGGAAAATCAAATGTTGACCAAGCAGGTGGTGAAACATTTTTCTGATCATTTTTGATGACAATAAATTGTTTTGAATCATCTTTTTGTTTCAATAAACGTTCAATTGATGATGTTGAATTAAATTTGAGCTCGATAAAGAAGAAATCGGTTTATTTGAAGCGGATATATCTATAGAAGACATTATATGATAATATAAATATGAACGAGTAATAAATATGAATCAATAATATCAATATGAACTAGTGTTAAATATGAATCAATAATATTATATGAAAAACTCTTAAATATGAATCAATAATATAAATATGAACCACTATTTAGTATGAATCAATAATATAATATGAAAAACTATTGAATATGAACCAGTAATAAATATGAATCAATGAAAAAGGCGAATTCAGAAAATAATTATCTAAAATAAAAAAAAAGATAAACAGCGGTCAACAATAACTCAACAAGACAATTAAACAAAATAAATAAATCATTACAACAATTAGAAAATGGACAATGGAGAATATAATGTGGTCGTAAGTTATTATTAGTCATATATGTGTCCAATCAATATGATAGAAATGATTTTCCATCTTCTAGCGACATATATTCTTATATGTACCAACTGATAACTATGTTATATGAGAAAAGATGAAATTTTTATTGAAAATTAAAAAAAACATCACAGGCAGGCGGCCTGTCTATTTTAAGTGGCCTGCCTGGCCTGTATAGGGTCTTGGTCTGGCCTGCCAGACCTGTGCCAGGCTTGAAAATTACGGCCTGTGCCTGTCCCAGGCAGGCAGGCCTAACGGCCTCTTTGGACCTCTGGTAGTTGCTTTATTGTTTTGTAGTATTTTCTTAATAAAATTAGAAAAGAAACTATTTTCCCAGAATGAAAGCTGTATATCACCAAGCTAGTTCATCTTTAAATATAGAATAGCAACTAGACACTATAATATAGCTAGAAATATCGGTAGTAAACCATAAATGGTAATAAAAAATATACATTTCAGCGATAGAAAATTTTCAATTATTCTTTATAAAAACAATGTAATCCTTTATAATGATAAACGCTATTCGTGAATTTTTTAATACATAGATTGACCTTCATCATTCTATTAATATCTTTGATCGAAAAAGAAAATTGGCGAAAATATAAAAACAAAAGATTAGCCTATAGCGTTAAATAGATATTAGTGATAATATTCGCAGGTATCATTTCACACTAAATCTTTCATTTTCTTTCTTTATTAAAACACGTACCTATATATTTACATGGCAACATTGATTTTTTTTAGTATTCGTTCTTGTTACTTTGCAAGATCATGTTTTGGATAGTCGTCACAGCACTTGTGTGCAGTTCAACAATACGAGCTGCTCCATCAATTTCATTTTTTTTCCTCAAACTTTGACTTCATCAACTTGTGCAGGTAGTAATTCATGGACTAAATGGTTCAATTCGGCTAAACCAAGTGATAATGGGAATTTTGACCAAGAGTTTCTCTCAGTAATTCAAACAGCAAATAGTCGTGATGTATGTGCGACACCTAAAGGAGTTCAACTACAATCAGTGAGTCAACTCTCTGGCACCGGTTCTTTTGGAGGTTCATGGACAACAACAAATAACATCGTTTCTGGATTCATATCAGGTACTCCTGGTGTTGACTATCAAATACGATTTTGTTGTGCTAATAGTGATTTTACACCAACTACAACAACACCACGACCAATCACAAGTAGCACATGTGGTCGAGCAGAGATAAAACATTCACTTAAATCATCACGAATTTTCGGTGGTTCACATGCTGTACGCAACTCGTGGCCATGGGTGAGTAGATATTAATAGTTTAAAAAAAAAACAAATTGTTTTCATCTTTATCTTTAAATTTTAGCAAGTTCTATATGAAGAAAAAAAATCGTGTGGAAACAATCAAATATGTCTCGGTCTATGTGGTGGTACTTTGATCGATTCACGTCATGTGCTTACAGCGACTCACTGTATTGGCACAACTAATCCAGTTGCCATTACTATCACGGCTGGTCTTCACAATAAGAATGATAATGAATCTGATACAAGACAAGTGAGACTTGTTGAACGCATCTTCAACCATCCTAATTATAATCCGCAAACATTAGAAAATGATTTAACTATTCTTCGATTGGCTCAACCTGTTCAATTTAACAAATTTGTTCAACCAGCATGTTTACCTGGACCTGAACCTCAACCGAATGCTGATGTTGTTCTGATTGGATGGGGAGCTTTAGAACTCGGTGGACGTCCTTATCATGAATTGAAACAAACTAAAGTTAATGTTGTTGGCGATTGTATCAAATACTGGGGTCAAGTAGATGAAACAAAACAAGTTTGTGTTGGGCATATTAGTACTGGCGATTCTGCTTGTCAAGGTGATAGTGGTGGTCCAATGTTATACGAACACAACGGACAATGGGTTGTGTCAGGAGTAGCTAGTTTTGTATCTGCAACTGGATGTTCAACGTATGCAAATTCTCGACCTAACGTATATACTCGAGTATCAGCTTATTTGCCTTGGATTATGAGTATTATTTAAAAGATTAAGATACCTTTTGAACAAGTATCTTATACTAAATTAAAAATATCATGACATTGGCATTGTCAATGTCACAAGAGAATTTAAAACGGTGAAACTTAATTATCTTTGAGCAAAGTAAAAATGCGCTAACAAATGACAAGAGCATATCAACATTTCAGAAAAGGTGTCTGTTAAATAGATTAATGCATATCAAAAAAGTAAATAGTGAATGGCTATTGATGAATTCAATTTACATCAGTTGATTATACAGAAATTTAATTGCAATTGCAGAATATTCTCCAAACATTCTAGATAAAAGATGAGACGTTCGAGATTTTAATAACATATATAAAAACTATCGGTATTAGTTCAACTTATAATCGTATTCTATTATCATAAAATAGTTTACAAAGTACTTACTTCAGACATACTAAAAGTAGTGATTTTGACCGATAAAATCTCATAGAGAAGTGTCAATCAAGTTTTTTGTTTGAACAAGTATTTGAGATAGTAGCCATGCCTAAAAACACGCAATCAATATGTTTTAAGGTATTTGTTGAAGCTATTTTTCAAATTGTCTTTGGTTAATAAATTCATCATCTAGGTTACGGTACTCCGTGTAATGACTAGAGACTGCTTGATCGATGAAATTTATCATTAAAATCAAACATCTAAAAAATACATAGTATTTTATCTGTAGAATAAGGTGAATATTAAATAACTATGATACGCTCGGATGTAGGATAGTAAAAGGCGTTTTTATGAAAATATAGTTAGACGTTATTATAATGTCTTTCGATGTTTCGAGCGCTAGATTATGATCTTTGTCTTCTGATTTCATTAATAAGTAGTTTTAGAGACTTATTTATATAGTATTAGTGATTAGATGCCTCTCTTATTTCCATATCTGTCAAGTTTTTTAATGAGTATTTGCCTAGTTGTGTTTAGAGAAGACACGAAATATTGTTTTGGGGCTGAATCACTGTGTCAAACTGTAATTGATGGAGGATGGAGCTTCTTCTAGTTCAAAGAATCTAAACCGATTTATGTGTTACATATGGGCATGGCCAGCTAACGGTCATCCTCGTTGTCGAAAGTTCGAAGTCGAAAACTTTGAACACAAAAAGTATTACTTGAAAGACAATAGTAAACAGTTTACAAAACAGATATAATTAATTACCCAGCACTTCAACTCTCAGTGATATTGATAGAACTTCTTCATATAGTGACTGTGTAAAAAATATTTATTTTTAGTCGTTACCAATTGAATGTAAATAAAAAATGGTCAAATGAACACTCGTTTACTAAATCGATATTAATCAACAACTAAATGCTCATGCTTTCATCATGTAATAAANCCCATATGTAGGGGTTATTATAGTAAGAAAAAGACTAAGAGGATTTGGGCTCTTATTGCTTCTTTCAAAAGTTATGAAGTTTTTCGTTTTCGATATAGTAAGGTACATAACGCTAAAATTTTCATTTCTCACGTCAGTAAAACAAAGAATTATTGGCTTAATTTTTTTTTCATAAATGCATTTAGCACCTATCAACTTTAAACATAATTTTGTGCCATTAAACTATAATACACAATGTGTTATAGAATGTTGGTTGTGAGAAGATACCCAGGTGAAACAATCAGACGGCCAGATCATACAGGATCTGAGGCACGATCTTGTAAAAGCTTACCACCTGATTATTGTACTTGAAATGTTTTTTGGTGCAGTATAGAATAGTAGGATAGTATGCCGGAAAGGGTTTTTTTAATTTTTTGTCGCTTTTTTAAATTTTTTTTGTTGTTTTTTTCAATTTTTTCCCTTCTTTTCGCCATTTTTAACTTTTCGAGACTTTTGTAAAATAACACCTAGACATAAACACCTAAAGATAAGCAAAACGTTGAAGAAGAAATAAAGCTTGAATAAATGAAGATTTTTTCTGATAATCTCCTGCTTATATGAAATCATTTATAAGTAGAAAAAGAAAGCTATGAGGGAAAACCAGGTGGTATTCGAACAATAGAGCAAAAGACGATTAATGCATATGATTTACTTCGAAGAAATGATGAAAGCAGAAGGTTTTTTGACACCAACTGCAGGTTATAAATCAAGTATCATTACAGCCTTTTTTGGCACAAGATATGTCGGTAAATGAAAAACAAATTTGTTTTACGTTCTGGAAGGCCCCCGGATTGTCTATTATGTAACCAGATTTGTACCAAGTATATTTAATCATTGGAACAAATCTTTTAGAAGAGAGCTGGTTATGAATGAGAGAATTCAGTTTGATGATGTTGTTTCTCTGACTGATATTTATATCAATATTATCGAGACGTATGTGGTCATAAACTTTTCGTGCAATAGCCTTAAACTGTCTGTTGAAGTAGACATCCAACGGCTGAATCCAGGAAGTAGTTTTCTTTGGTATTTCTATTCTTTGACAATTTTTTAATTTTTCATAAAGCGTTTTGTTGCTTTGTGCATCCCATGAATCTGAAATTAAAAGAAATTTGTTGGTTCCGATTGCAGGTTCGAAAACGTTATCTCGCCAATATTTTAGAAGTGACGTTGAGAGTTTACCAGACTTACTACACGTTAGAATAATATTTTTAGCCTGAAAAAGACTCTTTTTTACATTTTCAGTTAATCGACCAGAAGGTTCTTTTAAGCAAAGAAATACCGGCCCCACTAGATGGCCGCCCATACTGATCATTGGCCGCACCGTATATGAATGTGTCGTATTATGTACAGAATGTACAGCAGCCAGAGTAGTTTTTTCTCCTTGAAAACTCAAGGTTCGGTTAGAATATAATTCTAGTTGCAAGCCTGATTGATCAGTGTTCAATACGTAATCAGGATTATATTTTTTTATTATTTTTTGAGTATTTGAGATAAAATCAGTAGCAGATTTATAGATTTCCTCCTCATTTTGAACCTCTCGTTTGGTTATCAGTTTGGTTATTTTTCTCGAGCAAATATTGTACCGATGTTTAAAATCAAAAAGCCACTTTTCACTGGCAACAAAATCGTTCAAAGATATTTCTTTAGCTTTTCTCAACCCCCATCGTCGCAGATCAATATCATGAACTGAAAGTAACTTCCCACGAGCATTTTCAAACGACTC